GTAGGGTAGATTTTATAACATATAGGATGACAGATCTGGCTCAGAGCAGGCCAGGCATGAATGAGATGTCACATTAGGAATGCCTAGGATATGAATAGACTGGGTGTAGAAGTTTAGTATGGGACTAACCTTGGATTTAGATATCTTCACCTGATCTCTCTTCTTAAAGGAAAATGACTCACTTTTCATGATCTGCTTGGGTGATCTCATGACCACCCAACAAATACAGTAATTCGTCAGTTGATAGCCTAGCAACATAATCTACATTCAATGGAGAAAGCCCAAAATACTTTCCTTAAAGGACTTTGCTCTCTCTGTTTCCTCTCTCCCTCCCTCTCCCCACATAATCAATCTTCAGAAATTAAGTGAAAAGTTATGTGACTTGCTGGTTCAGCAGCTATAAAGCTAGCCCGGAGAAACACACAAAGGACAATTCAGCTCACAACTAAGAATCTTGTGATTAGAAGAGTTGTGGTAGTTTATGCAATGTTAAATCACGCAGACTATCATGGAACAAATCATTTTTAGGTTTTTATTTGTCATACATGAAGTTGCTTCCAGACCTCTTAACCAAGAGGGTAAAAATAAAATCAGACCACGAGGTAAGCTAGGAACTCAAGGAGCCATGCATACACAAAGCAGGGGTAGGGAGGACAGGAATGAAAGTTATTCAATTAATTTAACAAAATTAATTTTGATTTTCCAATAACTCCTTGTGTTTGGCTTTTTACATAACCGTCCTCAACTTGGAACAGTTCTGTTGGTTTGAAGAGAAATCAGGATTGAGGTTAAAAGGCAATTTAAATTTATTTTTCATTCTCGCTGTTTAATAAGTTGATTACTTGGACAAGATTTCCCCTATCACACTAGAGTTTTCAGAAGCAGCTCTTTAATTAAACTTTATTTAAAAAAGAAAAACCCAAACCTGTCATTTCTCTTGGATCAATGAAGCCTTATGCTTTTCACTGGGACAATACAGCTTTTGAAAATTTATTTAATTTTAAGTAAAATGAAAACATACCTGTTACAAACAATTCACATGGTATGGAAGGGAAAAGTAAAAGTTCCCCTGCTGCCAGCTTTCTATCTTTTCAAATCCCATCCCCTCCAATTATTTCTTGTGTTCTGTACATTTATTTTCCATTGTTAGAGTAATAACAGAGACTTCTGCTTCTGATAAAGGAGCAATACAGCCATGTCCTAGAAAAATTAGAACAAACTATTTTCTCTTTTACCATATACTTTTCCACTAAGTTAAATTTTCTCAGGATGTTGAGATATATCCTATAATAGGCAATGTTTGTCTATATACAGTGTAACCAGGTATTTTGAATTAGTAACTGGGAATCTACCCCACAGCAATCCCTACAGCTGTGCAAAGACATTTTCAAGACAGCATGCATCATTTTAAACACTGAAATTTGGAAGCAACCTTGAATGTCCTTTCAATAGAGACGAGGTACATCTTTCCTAAGTAGTCATTAAAAGGATGAGATGAATTTATATGTGCTTATATGGAAATATATTTTGCTTGATGACAAAAGGAAAAAATGCCAAAAGAAAATTACTGATATGTGTTGCACGATTACACACATGCACAACACACACATGCAAAATGAGCCTATTTTATTGTAATTTCCAAACTTTTCTATGCATTTTGATATATATGTAACACAAATACTATATGTAACATAAATGCATATATATGTAACATAAATACTATGAAATGAATATAAGAGAACAACTTGAGGGTGGTTAATCTCAGTATTAGAAAGGTTTGTTTCGTATATACTTCACCCTTTTGATAAATCTGAAAGAATGGCTTTCTTTTATCTTCTAGGATTCATGAAGGCAGGAATTTTTCTCTCTTTTATTCACTGCTGATCTCCGCATCCGGAACATGATAGATTCTCAATAAAAATGTGTTGAAATGAATGAGCAATCTTCTTCTTCCCATATTTCCATATTAGGAAAACTGCATGTGATAATAATTAATAGATTAGGTGCAAAGGAAAAAGAAATAGGACACTAGCTATAAAAAGACTCTGCAACAAGAATTCTATGAAAAGAAATATTAAAAAGTCAGGATGGTGAGGAGATGGAAGGGCCACCCTGCAGGGAGAGGAGGAGGAGGGGAAGATTTGGGGAGGGACTATTCAAAGGAAAGCAGAGAGCTGGTCTGCACCACCCTCCTCTCTGTGACTAAGCTCCATTTCCCAAAGGAATGGGGTCTGTCTCATGCTCTTACAATATTAAGAATAGCAAAAAGGAGATGCAGTAGTATTAGCAACTATATTTAGAAAGACAACTTTGACATTGCAGAACAATTTCAATATCAGAGGGGGAAAAAGTGGCCCAGAGAATAATGGCTTATATTTATCTACATATGGTCTTTGATTACAGTTTTTGGTCAATACTTCCTTCTTCCTCTTTTAGTGCTAGATGACTTTTTAAAATTTTTGAATAAAGAATTCATGCTTGTGCTGGAGATTCAGACTTGAGGGGGGTGGGGGAGAATGGGCATTTATTGAAATCTTAAAATCTGTACCCCCATAATATGCCAAAATAAAAAAAATAAGAAAAATTAAAAAAAAAAGAATTCATGCTTGAATTATAATTGAAGAATTTAAAGCTTAAATTGTTTAGTTTAATATATGGGAAAGGGAAGACAAAAATATGAATGAAACTCACCATAATGTATTTCTGATGGTTATTGACTTAAAGCTTACTCTATAATAGATTATAGAGTATAAAAGCTTAATCTATAATAGATTATAGAGTAAACTATGTTACTCTATAATCTATGTTATTCAATGTTCATCATTCATGAAGCACGTAGTTCCTTGTAGATCACTCTGTCCTATGGCCTACCTAACAGAGTAGAAATCTGTATGTTTGTGACCTCTTAGAACTCTTTAGAGTCACTTATTTAACAAATATTTGTTTTAACTCTTCAAATCGTAAGTTTCTATTCTTGATAATATCAGAAGTACAGGGCCTACGTAACACCAAATAGTCTCACAGAGATAAACAGTGTTGAAGAATAAAGAGCTTACACTCTAAAAAGGCTAGCTACATTTAGTTCTATTCAGCTAGTAAAATATATAACAACCAAAGAAATAATATATTAGACTTGGAAATTCAATTTTCTATGACTAAAGTGACTATACATCCCATTTGCCTGGGCCAGTTCCTAATTACGCCTGTTGTCCTGGCATAATTCTTAATAGGGCCCCTTTGCAAATCTGCCCAAGTCTGAAAATAAGTTATACGGTTACCCTATATTAAGGAAAAAGTTGTTGGCCTTCTCCCAAATTTCTGTCTTTTCTTTGTTTTATTCCATTTCATATCAAATTCTCAGAAGCCAGAATTTCAGGATATTGGTTGGATAATGATTTAAAAGATAATGATCTGAATCTCCCCTAGGATGTTGAGGAACACACACTAATTTGGACTGCAAAAGGGTCCCAGCTGTGATGTGGCAAAAACTCTTAGCATGACTCTTTTAGGTTGTACTTTTGTACAAAGAGACAAGTTACTTGCTGTTCACGTTTTATTAATATATTGAAATGAGACAGTATGTGCTTCTTTCTGTCTACCCCAAATTCCCCTTATTAAGACAAACAGCATTATAACAAGGAAGCTGCTGTTTTACTTCCTGCAAATCATAATGAATAAACTAAAACTCCAGTACAGTGAAATATAATTTGCCCTTTTTCTTGAGATAGCTCTTAGCCAGCACAACAAAATTGATTCAATACACTGATAAACTTAAGAGTCTAAAAAACTTTAGCCTATGTAACTTTCCAAGCTTATCACTCCACTATTTCTTATTCTTTCATCGAATGAGTTCATTTATCTGATATGCTTAAGAAGTCCTTGACATTCCCAGGATTTTTTTTCTGCTTCATAATCACTTTCTAGATCCAATCTTTTATTTTGATACTAAGTTAACTAGCACACTTTAATTAGGTTGGAAGCATGTATTTAATTAAAGGCAAGAAGGAAGTTAACTGAATTGGAATGCACCATAAAAGATTGCTCTGCATTTAAAAAAATGGTGGTAGTAGTGATGGGTGGTTTGGGGGGTGGGGTGTTGTTTTGTTTTGTACTGTGTAAACTATGACTATTATCATGGCTCTCTGATACAGTGTATTGGAAGGAAAACTTTACCTTTTCACAAGCATTCAGTAAGCAACTGATATTTCATACAAATATTTAAAACTAAATATTCTTTGAATTTAAATGACATTATTGCATCAATACTCTTGTAAATGGTTATCTTGGCACTTTAGATTTTAATCATGAGTTATTAAAAAATCATTAACTCCTACTTTATTTCCATTTCCAAATATGTTTTGCATTTTATTTGATTCTAAGTGTCTTCATATATAACTTTAACTTCCAGTAGATCAGATTCTCTCCCTGCCCATGTTCTCACTGGCCATTGGAAGCATCTTTGCAGTCTTCACGGGGGTCATGTTTGATAGTCTCACCTCTACAGCAAGCCTGGCTGCTGGTCCTCTGTGCCTTAGCTTCTCCTCCTGTGTGGCTCTTTGCTTCTGTTCTCTTCTCTCTGTTTAACCTAAACCCATAGGTAAATTCAACAGTTTGATAGCCCTCCTCAAAGCTGCAATCACAAGGTGCCCAAACATGACTCAGCTCAAGTAATGACACCTTGTTTTAATGTGAGGTCTTCTCAGAAGAGCTTCCCATATCTTCTCGAATGGGTTAACCACACCATAAGGAGTGGGAGTGAGAAATGTTGGCAGCCTAGGAACAGTAGCCATAACCCAGTGGAGCTTTTGTGTAGACCTGAGTGTCCAGATCCTGAGACATAAATCTCAGACTTCTGTCTTCAGTTTTTGGTCTTGCTGTCTTCTTTCATCATCAGTTTGAAACTGGAACATTAAGCCATGGCTACATTCTCAAATTCTGCTCAGGACTGACTTCAAGTCCACATTATGGCCCCCACCATCTCCTCACCCTCAAGACCCTACTGCATTATCCATGGCAGCCTGCTATTGTAGATCTCTGATCTCTACTTCCTATTCGAGACTCACACCAATAAAAAGAACACCTCTGGTTTCTAGAACCCTCCATCTGCTTCAAACTCTGGCTAATCTTCTCAAGCCACTTATGACTGCTGCAGCTCTCAAACTCATTCTTCTCGTGCAGTCTTCTCCCATTGCAATTGCCACTGCAGTGTTATCCTAAAACATAGATATGGGGGGGAAATAGAAAAATTAAAAATGCCCCAGTTTATCTGGTCTGGTGACTCCCCACAAATGATAAGCAAATTGTTTGCTTTGGTAGAGAAAATTTCTTAAAATCTTATTCCAAACAAACTTTCCAACTCCATTTCAAATCTCTGGTATTTTATAACTATCCCCATGTGCCCATGTATCCCTAAATTCTAATTAAGCAGGGCAACTAAAATGGTTTCCCCAACTTATCATGTATTTTAACACCTCATGCCATTACTTTTCGCTTTCATTGGTCTGGAAATGCTTTCTTTTCATATTTTGCCTAGTCAACTCTATTCATCCTCTACAGACCCACTGAATTATCCCTTACCCTGGAAACCCTTCCCCAGTCCATCCAGAAGGTAAAAACGGCTTACATATTACTTATTACAGTGCATTAATTTTTAGTGTTCTTATGACTTCTCAAGGCTTTATTAGTTCAGAGAAAATATCATGACTACAAGAGGCATATCCACCTGCTGAACTGGAAAGAACATGAGTTTAAAATATGGGCCTTTATACCTGCAAAGATCATTTGTGCTTCATCTATGATGTCAGTCTCTCACTAGGCCTAGTCCAAAAAAACAAGACTCTAGACAGGAGCAGACTCTTGCAGCACAGAAGAGAGAGACACTATTGGAACTATTTGGACTCTTAAAGTGAACCCGCCTTCTATTGAAATCACAGGATCTACAGAACCCCATGTCAAAAAGCCTTTTTATACTTTCATCAATAAGGTTGATTTTAGCCAGAACAGAGCTCCTCTGCTCTGAGATTAATAACTATGCCTCTACTCTGGTATTTTTGGAGAATCATCAGGCTGGCCATGTTCTGAGGAGGTTTCCTCAGTCTTTCATGTATTAATTCATTCATTTAGTAAAAAGATCAATTACCAACTGCTAGGCATTAAATAAGACAGATCTGATTCTTGCCCTCATGAAGTTTGATTGTATACAAGTTGGTAAAATGTTAATCAATCAACTATTTAAAAAAAATTTCCATCATCATAAATGTGTCAAAAGGAGAAGTATGGGCTACTGTGGCTTTGTTTATAACAAGGTCATCTGATCACATTTAAAGATGAGAGAAACCATCCCTGAGAAAGTTCAAATTTATTTTCTATTTGACTCCTTTGCTCAACTTGAATCTTAGACGTTGGCCTATATCTTCATGCTTCATATTTCTTCTAAGTTCTATCCTATAAAGCACAGAGAATTCAGGCCCTTCCTCATTTGTAAAGATCAGGCATAATTTGAGATTTGCTTCAATGTTTCCTCACTTTCTGTTCCATTATAAATTGTGCTTTCTATGTTTCAATTTTTATGTTATATTTTTGCTACTCCAATTTCCCACTAATAAATAAATTTAAAAAGTCAGTTAAATATGAAACATATTTTATAAGAGAAGAAAGCACCAGAAAAAAGCAGACATCCTGATCTTCACTTTCTGTATTTTGTACTGTTGTTCAACTAGTAGTTTTGGGAAGAAAAATCTCATTCTACCAACATGGTGAAATAGTCAGGGTTAGGTTGATGTAAAACCTACTCTTTTTTTCTGGGATGTTAAAGGGTATTCAATACCAATATTATTTTCATAAAAAATGTACAAGCACTAATGTGAAAGGTTTCTGTCATCCAAACTCATAAGCCTAGAAAAGAAGTTATAGCTAGTAAGCAGGTGGATGGTTGAGTAGAAGACAGATTCACCATAACATATTGACAACATTTAAGCCACACAAAAGTGTAACTTCTTGGAAGTCCATCAAAGTGAAAGCGAATACTCACCTCCAGGCAAACAATGGTTTCCCCTATCCCATGTCCTGGCACCCTTACCCATTCTGGTTAACTTGCATGGGGACAAAAAGAAGCATGGCCAAACTCTTTGTAAGAGTGTAAAATGTGCATCTAGTCCCTCTTAAACCTTTATCTTCAACTGTTCTCTCTGAATTTGTTAGGAATATAAAATTCATTTTCCTAATTTAAGTTTTTGCATAAAAGTATTTCTTAAAAAATCAAGAGCCTTTTGGCTGCAGTGGACATAACTATTAGCTTAGCTTCTATACTCTCTAACCAGGTTCTTAAACAATTACCAGGCTGCTTGGTAAAAGATGGCTCCTCCATTTATCAGTCCTGATAGAGTTTATAGAATTTCCTTACTTACTATATTCTTTAGCCTCAATTGGAATCTTCCTGAGTTCAAGGGAGGTAGACAACACTGTTAGTAAAAAATAAAAAGGTGATCTGCTTTTAAGAAGGTATCTGTGCCCAGAAGGCAACTTGGAAAACACTTTGCAGTTTTTCTGCCTGAACTCCATTAAGAGACTCTGGTCACCTCTAGACTGCACAATTTGCTCTGCCAGATTTAAAGCTGGCAAATGACTAACTGGAAATTCGATCCTTGGGTTAGTCACATGGCTTCCAAGGAAATATGACTCGAAGATTCCGTGTAAATGTGATGGCAACTTTGTGTCTTTTCCATGTAAAATTGGATTTCATTTCTTAGGGAATGAACATCACAACAGTAATAACGATTCACAGCTTCCACTTCACCTACCAACTTCCATCCCCCTTTGCTTTCTTCAGAGGACTGGCATCTTCTCACAGATACTCTTCCACCTGCAACAGTACGATCTTATGTTTCTCTGTAAGCTCTAAATATTTTTTTATTTATATATTTAATCTGTTCCCTCTTATCCATATTGAGGCCTGGATGTCCACCATAAGTTCTGTAAATACGATTACTTGTACCCCAGAGTACTATGACTTCATTCTGAGAATAACAAAACATAAGGGACAAAGAACTAAAAAGTTTTGTTTTGTGTGGCATCATCTCAAGTAGGTATACAAATGTGTATGTAATTTAAAACATATTCTTGGGCAGGGAGGAATAAAAACATCACATATTGTATACTATTGCTGTATAAGAAGGCACTCTAGAATTCAGTGGCTAAAAAAACAAGGGTTTACTCTTTTCCATAATTCTGAGCATTGGCCCAGGGGTTCTTCCGCTGTGGCTGCATTTTATTAGAGGGTTGGCTGGGATCACGTCAGGGAGGCTAGACCATGATTCCTTGAAAGATAGTTAGTTCCAACACAGCCAGCCCCAATGTGCAAGCATGTATTAAGCCTCTGCTTGTAACACATTTGCTGATGTCCTATTGGACAAAGCAAGTTACATCTCCAAGCCTAGAATCAATGTGGAAGGGACTACATAAGAGCATGGATGCCAAGAGGCATCATGTATCAGGACCATTATTGTAACAACCTAACACAAATGGTCATAGCATGAGATCGTATTTTATTCCCACATTTAGAGAAACCCCTAAACAATAATGACTTGTGTTCTAAATGTAGCACATTTACACACCTCTAGAGAACATAAACTAATCAATGGGTTGTCAGTATAAGAAATAGTATTACTGATTAAAGGGTTATTAGTGGAGAACTTTGGCATTTTTTAGTTTTTAGAATGAAAAAAAAAGACATGAGATTTCTGAGACTGAAAGCATATACCAAGTAAAATGTGTGACCAATAGAAATAAATTCACATCTAGATACATTGCAAGGAAACTACATATAGTGAATCAAGGATAAATTAAAAAATTGTTTAAAAAGAAAAAGAAACAGGAAGATTAATTATAAATGAAAAAATTCATAAAACAGAACAAATCTTATTAGTAAAAATAGATTGTGGAACAGAGTGGATTAATATCTTCCAGTCACTAAGGTTAAATAACTTTACATTAGACTTCATTCAAGAATAAGAACACCTCTTAAAAATTTTAAACCATAAAAGCTTAAGAGTATTTTCCACTTCAAAAATTATAGATAAAATTCTATATAATAGGTAATAAAGATGATATGGAATTGGGGTTGAATGAATAGGTAAAGCATATCATGCATTCTGAAGTATAGATAGATATTTTGAATAACTTTAAACTTTGTTAGAAACAAATATATATTTAAGTAAGTAACATAAAATGTAATGGATGTTCACTAAATGAAAAGAAATATAATCCATAGCTGCCAAATCAGCAAAGAAAATAAAGGCAAATTTGACAGTAGTTGCCTTTGAGCAAGAGAGAGGGTGTTTTAGTTAGGATAGTCTATATTGTGCTGCTAAACAAATAGCCCCCAAATATTAGTGATTTAAAAGAACTAAGTCTGCTGCCAAGGGCAACTGTTCTCAGTATAATGGCTTGACATTTCACCTTCACATTAACATGTCCCTCAAATCCACAGTAGCAAAAGAGAAAAGCTTTGGAGATTCTTACATTGGCAATTCTACATGAAAGTTATACACATTGCTGCTGCTCATATTTTTTTGGATAAAAAGCCATTTATCAGGCCAGAACTATACCCCAGGGGCAGAGAAATGCAACCCCACCTGTACTGAAAGGAAAAGAATCATGAATATTGGTGAGTAGTGCTAGTGTGTAGCACAGAGGCAAATGCTTACATAGGAGAGTTATATCTGTAACAATTTTCTTTAAAAAAAATTGAAGCAAATATGGCAAAGTGTTTGTTTAAATATGATCAACACATGGATGATTGTTACATTATGTTTGGTACATCTCTGTAGCATTTCATAAAATATTAAAAATCAAATGTCTTTAATTTTGACAATCAGAATTTTATATTTTAGCTTTATTACTAATTATCCTATGTCTGCAGATAAACATAAGCAATGCTGTCCTAATAATTAATCTCATAATGTTGACTAATTGGCATTTAACTTCAATGTTTTACCTATTCCTTGCTGAAAGACCACATGAACGCATTTGGCCACATTAGAGTTATTCCTACTTTAGCAATTCTTATAAGAGATGGTTTAAAGCTTCTTTTAAAAAATACAAGACAAAATAAAATAAACAAAAATCCCTTCTAAATCTAGATAATTATAAAATTATTTAGGTAACACTGGAAAAAACATTTGTTTTAGGGTTAGATAACACTAAATCTGAATCCCTACTTAAGTAGCTGCATGATTAGGGCAAGTTGCCTAATCTCTATAAGTTTTAATGTCCTCAACTATAAAAATAATGACTATAATGTCTATTTCTAATACCATTGTGGGGATCAAATGAATGATGTAATGAAAAGCACCTTGTATCTAATGAACCTCCAATTATTCAATCCGATGCAATTATTACTTTAAATAAACTCTGGAAGTAGGAGGTGAAATAAAGAAATGCTAGACTAGCCTTTTGAAAAAATGCCATCAGTGATGGTAATATCAAGAGTAAATCCTGCAACATTCCCATGGATCTAGTACAAAAGCTACTTGGTCTTTCCCAAAAGTTACTATTTAGCCTTTTTAAAAAGATTTTCTTGATATATTTGGTCTTGGTAGTTTGACTATAATGTTGCTAGATTTTCATTATATTTATCTTGTTCGGGTTTTGCTAAGCTCCTTAGATATGTAATTTGCTAAGTTGTCATTAAATCAGGAAATTTTTAACTGTTAGTTCTTCAAATATTTTTTTTCCTGCCACTCTCACTCTCCCTCCAATTACAAATGCCTAATAGAGTTTCACAGGTCATGGAGGCTCTGTGAATTTTTTAAAAAATATTTTTATCACTGTTCTTCAGATTGAATAATTCTATTGATTTGTCTTCAAGTTCATTGACAATTTTCTAATTTCTCCATAATGCTATTAAGCCCATCCAGGGAATTTTTCATTGTGCTTTTTGATTCTAGAATTTCCATCTGGTTATTTTTTATAGATACCATTTCTTCCATTTCTGTATAGAGATTCCCCTATCTGTTCACTTGCTATGGCCATCTTTTAAGTCTTTAAACATAATCTATAATAGTTTTTTAAATGCCTTTTATGTGTTAATACTGATAACTAAGTCATCTCAGTGTCTATTTCAATCAAATGCATCTTTTCTCCTTTATAAGTCACATTTTCTTGGTTTTTTGCATGTCAAATAACTTTTTATAATAAGTTGAACATGTGGCTTGTATGTTGTAGGAAAGCTGGATTATGCTGTATCTCTTTGAAGAGGACTGCCTTTTATTCTAGTAGGCAATTAAATTACTGGAAGAAATTTTTTCTCCTCTCAGACTTACTTTTATTCCTCGTAAAAGTATGTCTATTTTGTTTTGATCCTTAGTCTTAGAATGAGATCTTTACTACAAAATGTGGTCCTTATTCAAAAGGTATGGTTTTCCAAGATCTCAGTTAAATGCTCAAAGCCTTCAACAAGGACTCTCCAGTCTGGCTCAACTGGAACTCCAGTGTTTCGCAGTACTAAGTGACCTCTGGTATCTCCATTCCATGCTCATCTTCTCATCAGCCACTGTAGCAGGCCTTGTATACACAGCCCAGCTCTTGGTTAAGAATCTGAAGTGACCCTCCATGCAGATTTCTATCCCCTTCACTTCCCATCTCACATATACATGAAGCTCACTTCTTTTTTTTTTTTTTTTTTTTTTTTTTTTGGTATCTTGCTATGCAAATTTAGCCATGTCAAGAACCCAGAACTCTGAGTTGCAACTCTATTTGCCTCCTCAATTCAGCAAGACTGCCACTCTACTTGGATTCTATCTCTTGTGCCACAGGTAGAAAAGTATCCTCAGGCCAAAAGGTAGGATGAATGTTGGTACTCACCTCATATGTTTTCTTGCCCTCAATTATCAAAATCCTATGCTTCCTTAAATGTACAAAATCTGTTGGTTTGTATACATTGTCCAGTTTCATAGTTGCTTATGGTAGGAAAGCAAGCCTAGTAATAGGTACTTCGTTATGGCCTATAGAAGTCTTTGAGTTAGTTCTTTTACTACTACACTGTTAGCATAAAGTAGAAGATAGTCCATGGCTTTGAAGAAAAAAGACAATCTATAGCTTATCTGTCTCAGACTCATACTTTCCTTATCTGGGCTCCATTCTAAACTTTCTTTATCTTTCTGATTTTAGCACTCTCTGTTGGAGGTAAAAGCAAGTAAAATACAATAAACTCTCTGAGTTCTGGTACTCTGTGATGGAGTTTCTTAACCTGTTAGAGAAACCTGAGCATTTTCTGGGACAAAATATGCTAGATTTTCCTGCAGATATAACATTCTGATGTTTTGTGCAGTGGGTTTTTGAATTAATAATTAAGTTTGGCTACTTTATAAATCAAAGTACCCAAGTACTTGGTTATCCAAAGTATACAAGTAATGTTTATATTGATATTTGCCATATGATAAGAGGCTTAATCAGTTTGGGTTGACATAAGAAAATACCACAGATTGGGTGGCTTAAACAACATAAATTAATTTTCTCACAGTTGTAGAGGCTAGATAGTCCAAGATCAAGGTTTTCCAGGGTATGGCTTATGGTGACAACTCTGTTCCTAGCTTGTAGATGGCTGTCTTGTCCCTGTGTCCTCACATGCAAAGGGAGAGGGAGACAGACAGACAGAGAGAGAAAGAGAGAAACACACAAGCTCACTGGTGTCTCTCCTTATAAGGGCACTAATCCCATCATGGGGACCCCATCCTCACGACTTCATCTGAACCTAGTTATCTCCCAAAGGCCCCATCTCCAAATACTATCACATTGGGGGTTAGAACTTCAACATATGGATTTGGGGAAGGGGACATGATTCAGATCATATCAACAAGTCTTTGTACTTGCATTTTATGAAAGTTTTCTTATGTGATATATGAAATAAGGGAGAAAAGGGTTCGCATGAAGATCTCTCCTGTGATAAAGGTATGTTTATGCTTTTTCCAGTTTCAGTAGTTTCAGATACAAAAATAATTCCTCAAATAATTTTTACCTTCAATGGGCAAAATGAGGTCAAACATAAAAAAAAAATCCTATTTTTAAAAGGCTTAAAGGAAATGTGGCAGCAATCCCTTAGGGGGGAAATTCTATAGAGGTGTCTACAAATGCTGGGCATATGTTTTTGAGGTCTTGTAACCCTGTGGGTATTTGTAAAAGAGGAGAGTTTCTTAAACCTCCTTGGTTGGGCATTTATAGAGTATCTCAACCCCTGCATCATTTGGATACTGATGAGACCCACCTGTTAGCAGCAAGAGCCTAAACAGGATGGCCAGAAATCCCAAGAAAATAATCAAGATGGAAAAAAAATGCCATCGTCAGCTTCTGAATAAGAAATTGGCTCACAGTCACACACAAAGCCATAGACTAAATAGAAATTTCCCGTCCTAAAAATGAAATGTGTGCAGAATTCTTGGTGAGTGATATCCAGTAAAACATCCACATAACTATCATGATTTACGTACTTAGTCTGAGTTTTCTTTGTAGAAACAGGCTTCCTTCATTAATATATTGCTCCTGGTGGATGGGAGAAATCTCCCGTGGGACAATGTGACAGCTGACAGCAAGATTGCAAATGGCATTGATACTAGAAAAACTGTATCTTCTTAGCTCAGTAACATGACATTCATTTTGAAAAAGAATCAGTAATTTCCTAACTCAATTTGTTTTTACTTTAGCAGGAGATATGTTAAAACACTCTTAGCAGGCTGACGTCCAAGATGTAAGAAAAATCTAGATGCTTTGAGAAAATTTACTTTCTGTGTGTGTGTTTCTTTACTTTGTGCTTCTGTGTGTATATAAAAGAGGAAGATACGATATTCTTCATTTATAAATTGACTCCACTGACACTCTTATTTTTAGCAGCGATGATCTATTTATAATCTCAAAATTTTTTGTGAATAAGAGCAAAAAGAGAGCTGGGCAAACTCAATGTCCACAAAAATACTTGTAATTGGTCCATGCAGTAATAATTGAATCCAAAAATGTAGAAGTTTCACATGCTATGCCATACATCATTATTGCGCTAAATTAAAACAGCACAGTGACTTTTTGTCCTTGTGCTATTTAGTAACAATATGCTATTTAGTAGCAGTATGTGCATCTAGACTTTAATTTCAGTTCTGCCAGTGACTGGGTGACCAGGGATAAATAACTTATCCCCTCTCTGCTTAGTATTTGTATCTATAAAATGGGAAGGAGAAGGACAGAAACATGAAAGGAAGTTGCAGAATGCAGTGTCAGAAGAATCAGGCTGAAGTTCTGAACAACTTCTCTCTAGAAGCACCTTCCGTGCATGTGCACCTGAGCACACTGAACAACTTCTGTGGCATCAGCCCTGCACTAAAGCTGCCATTAGGGGACAGCTAGAGGAAAGATGTTCAAAAGCTGTATGCCAGGAAGCATACCATATACACTTTCTCCATTAGATAAACCTCTTCTAACATCGCACTGACAGTTATCAAAGTACCTCATATTGCATGTTATTATATTTTTACCTTAACATTTTACTTTCGTCATTTTAATATCAATTGACTGCTACTGCTTTTCTGAGAAATAATGTTTCAATGGGAACATGGTACTCTTATGTGTGAGTTTAACTTTACATATGCATATGGGTTTTATCAGTTTTATTGATATTTAATTCACATAGTATAAACCTGGCCCATTTGAAGTCTACAATGCAATGGCTTTTAGTATATTCACAGAGTTGTGCAACCATCATCACAATCAATTATGGAATATTTTTCCATGTTATTTGAATTACATAAGCCTTTTAAATAAACAATAATAGATCTTCAAATGAAAGACTCTGTAAGAAAACCATAGAATTTCAGAGCTGGAAAGAATATGTAGACCATGTATTCTGGCAATATCGTTCACATAATTTCACAGTCAGGAAATGGCAGATTCCTGGCTCTGGACCCTTAGACTAACACTTCTTCTATCACCAAAGATAATTGTCTTTCACATGAATCACTGATGTTTGCCAGTTAATGACAGCCTACTCTGTACTGAGCTCCCTTCATAAAGAACATAGAATAGTTTATCTTCTGAGACTTCTTTCTCATTAAAAAAAAAAAAAAAGAAAGAAAAAGACCTAACCAAACAAAACTCCATAAGCTTAGCATATGACCAGTAGAGTTATAAAGTTCTCTACTAAGGGTATGTATGGTACAATGAAATAAATCATTTTTATTTCAGGTAATATAACCTACTGGTCAGAAGCATATATTCTGGAGTGATAAATATCTTTGGCTTTGCCACTTATTTGTTGTATGACCTTTTTGAGCCTTAATTTTCACATTTAAAAATGTAAATAACAATACTAGGTATTCCTCTTACAGGGTTGAGAAGATCACGTGAGATAACCGATATATATACTGAGATCAGCTAGTAATATAGATCAGCTATATTACTGGCTAGTGTAATACATACACCATTATTATAATTTTCTAATATGTATTTATCCCTTATATTTTACATAGTTTAACACTATCAATTAAAACAAACTTCCTCAAATTAATGTTTAAAGTCACCATAATATCTTTAATTTTTATAGTATTTTAAAGCAAATTTATGTATATTATTTCACTTTATCACTGAAAAATCTGCTAAGATAAAATCTAGAATAAGCAAAAGGTTGATCTAGTTTTCCTTTCTCCTATATTGTAAAGATGTTTGATCATAGTATCTAAAAAGTGGAACTTAGGAAAGACACTCAATGAAGACTCAAATTCATAACACGAACTGATAAAGATTCAATACTGATTGTCTAATATAGGTCTAACGGCTTAGCAGTGTTGAATTAGAAGAAAAGTTGCTTTCTGTGGTTATGCCCTTGCATAAAGAAGAGATGCTAGAGTTAACAAACACTATCCTCCATGCTGATTAATTTCAGAGATGCTAAGAGCACGTGGACATGACTGTTTTTATGGGAGAGTTCAAAATATCAATTTAAATAAATACTTTTATAGAAAGAAAGCAGCATATTTGTCATATACAATTTCAGCTAGGAAGGCATGTTCCAGGTTTAAAAGAATAGGTTCTATTAAAGAGGCCAATTCTCATAGTATTAAATGCCTGCATAATTCAAAGAGGATATCTCAATAACAAATAAATAAAGCAAAACAAAAATAAAAAGGGAAGACTGTCTTCTCTGCTTGATCATCTGGCTTAACTGCCTAAATTTACATATATATATATATTTTTCAGCATCATCTTCCCTTTAATTTGAATAGCTATTTTTTGCCCCTAAAATGCCCAACTACTTTATTCTTCCTGGGGGTATCCAACCAGATTAGCCTGAGTATCTGTAGCATCAAGATGCTATAGCTTATTTCTGGCTGCTGCATAGCTTACAGGGGCCACAGATTCAAGAGGTTTGGGGACTGCCGATGGATTGGTTACATTGCTCCAACACCATGCAGACATGCTATTTGTAATTCCTGCTACGGTTTGCATTTCCCAATGAAAGGAACCCTTGGACTGGGAGACAGGAAGTGATTTCAATTCTGTTATAATTGCCTAGTTTATCCAGCAAGGTATTTTAGTTTCTGTGTCTTGTTCTCTTCCTTTGCTAAAGAACTTGGACTAAGGACTTTTGGTTTCCTGTCCAGGTCAAGCATTCTCTAATTTTTTGTAGATTATCATTAGTTTTCCAATAACTTACAATGGCATCTTGCGTTTGGGGTTTTATTGTTGTTTTGTTTGTTTCCTTTGTTTTGCTTCAGTGCTTTAATCCTCACAATGCTGAGGTAGAAACACAATGCAAGGTAGAAACTTCTCTCATGTCTTTAAACGAGCAGGCCAGTCTTTGTGTCCTCACAAAGGGCTCAGACCCTATTACACTGTAATCATATTTTCTAAAGTCAGAGTGAAAGCTCAAATATAATTGGCTGAGAGATGTTGCCTGGGAAAATTCACAGAGTCCTCTCACATACTTTTACATTATCCTCCAGAGTGCCTCAAGTTCTGTTTATTCTTGTAGCACTGAAATAACCCCAGCATATTTCTGTAACTGCTCAAGAAAGAGTTTTTTTTTTTTTTTTTTTTTTACTTCACCATGTATGGTTGCAAACCAGCGGTTTCCATTTTCACATCACATGCTGTTTCTCAGCTGGGTTCTCACAGGCCTGACCTAGAGCCATATGTCCCCAAAAAGGGTAAAGGATGCATGCTGGGAAGAGGCACATAGAAATTCCATCCAATTACTTGAGGGTTTTATTCTTAACACAGTGCCTAATAGTTTAATATCTCTTCTTGCTTGTTATAAATAGGTTCCAATGCCTGTCGCTCTAGCTCACTGGGAAAGAATGCAAACAGTCCCAGGAATGAAATACTCAGGAAGGTTGTTCTGCTTGGTAAGAGCTATTTTATTTTAAATGACAACAGTTTCCTCCAGACACAGAGAAAGCCTTAAATTTTTAGTCTGTGAGTGTCTCATCCTTAGGAATGATGTAATGTATCATATGAGAAAAAACAAAAAGAAAGGAAGGAAGAAAGAAGGAGGAAGTTACATCAGTGATAAAAACGTGCTGAACAGTATCTTTATTTCTCAGTTGGCCTTTAAAGGAACATTCATTATTTTGACCAAATCTGTGTGTTCCTGCTGCATTCTCCAGGAACCAGTATCGTTCATGTAAAGGCCTGTTCAGAAGGACATCTAGGAAACCAACAGCATAAGGCAAGTAGAAATACATTACAAAAGAGTCAATAAAAAAGAAATCTCAGGAACAAAGTTTCAGAAAACAGACTTGTCCTTTTTCTCCCACAAGCACATTATTTTTTCTTTGAATTGAAACCAATCAATGTAGCATAAAAGAAACAAATGCAGGAAGACAGCTACACTTGTAAAATTTTCTGGTTTAATTATCAGTAAATGGTCATATATTTGTAAAAGGAATTTTGAGGTTTTGATTTCTGAGCCTAGAAATATTTCTCATTCCTGCTACAAGATAAAGAGAAGGCACCTGATAAAATTTTATGTCTCTTGATTGTGGTAACAAAACACAATTATAAAGGGCTTTATGTCTTTCAAACTTACAAAACTTGCCTTCCACTGAGATTACCACATCTCAAACCCAGCTGCACATGGCAGTGACCTCCAGTTTCTGTGTGGCTACAATTCTTCTCTTGACTTGAATACCGAGCTCTTCAGTTGGAAGTTGCGTGCTGTGTACATTTCTGAATTTACTCAATTTTAATAATTCTGGATCTTTTGAAGAGTCTTAGAATAAAGAGACTTTGTCGGAGCTAATGGTATACAGAAAAATCTAAACATGCAAAAATGATGTTAGGTGATGTTTGATTTCGATCATTATTATAGAGAGTTTTGAATTCTAATCTGGTCAATATTTATAGTGCAAATCAGAATTCTAATAACACCAAAAAATAGCTCGTGACTATATGTGTAACAAATGACATTATTCTTGAAATCAGAAACAGGAGATAATTAGAATAATTGTCCTAACGGGTTTTTTTAGTTGACTATTGGTCTAAGAAACATAAACCTATTCAAAATCAGGGAAACATCAGTTCAATAGCAGTGCTGGAGTCATGGAACATTCCAAAAAAAGTTTACTAAGTTTTTTGCTAGCTCAATCTTTGTGTTAATCAAACTCTAATGACTTGCATACATGAAGGCTTTATTTCAGGCCCTTGAAATTTTCACATAAATTTCATAGAGCACACTAAATAAAGTTATGTTTAAACCAAATCTTCTAAACTGCTTTTACTTCCTTCTGACCTTACAATGTGAAAGTCTCTGTTAATTCTCAGCCTCACCAAGGTTTAGCAGATACCCAAAGTGGCTATTAAAATGCTTACTAAATTGACTCTGCCCCTGTAAGAAGCATATACACATGACTATTTTTTTCTAATCTCAATGGATTCTTCAAAGAATTGTTATTGAAGTAGACTTATTTCAGCTTCTTGGCATTTGGGATGTTTTTCATGGCCTTCATCAATCCAGCCCTAAGAAGCCACCTTTCTCCTAGCCAATTAATTATCCACCAAGGTTGTGCCATCTTCAACCAAAATACCTAGATAAAACCAAAATGTTGCTAATTACACAAAGTGTAGTCAACCATTGTATTCATGATGTTAACTCGTGTTCCTATAAAGTCTAAATCTAAAGACTGAATTTTAAAAAGCCATTTTGACCCATTTGCTTTTCAAAAGTACAAAGGCAATTCAAAAAGAAGAAAGATCACAAAGTAGAAAATGTGAAGGCGGAGTTTTGAAGTGGCTCAGATCCATACTTGAGGCTCAGTCCATGTTTACAATTTCCATATACTTAGGAAAAATGGAAAGAGATACCTCTAGTCCATTTTCCCTTGTCAAAGTAGGCAGAAATAATTTAAAATCTGGACTACAACTCTTCTAGGTTTTAAATCAAGAAACCAAATACTTACAATATGGTGCTTTATAATAGATGACAAGTGCCATAAGGCATATTACAAGGTGAAGTGTATAAAGGTGTATGAGATTTGAATAATATACTGACCTTTCTAATTGCTAAACAAATGGACTTCACTGCTAATTTACTACCATTAACTTATAATCAAGTTAAAAGAAAAAGTCACTAAAATATTCTTTTCCCCTACAAATACAGACACTTCAAATCTATGTAACTGCAGAGGCATGAGCCAATAAAAAAAATTAGAAAACTGTTTTATATTAACGTTAGAGCAATCACCAAAGCCTCCACTTAGTTTATACTTGGAAATGATGAGCTTTGATCTTAATTTCAGTTAAAAATCACCATCTCAGATACTATTTCCCTTTTCTTTACAATTTAAACATTTTAAAACCAATGTCAGCAATTTCACATCCTCTCTCACACCTGGAAAAGTGCTGTTTCAGACTCACGGGTCAGCCTGCGGTTCTTTACTCATTTCGCTTTTTAGCTCTAAATGCAAAGTTCGGGAAAATGTTCTCGCCAGTGTGAGTATGTTTAGGATATTCCTTGTTTATCTATTTCATTGTGGCCATATAGTTTCCTGGATTTGTCACCTCAAGATGTTAAAATTGTTGAAGATCTTTAACCTAAAGATTGTGCTCTTCGCAGGCTGAGAAGGTAAATCATACAAAGATGCTTCCAAAAGAAGCATCACTGTCTAGAGGCAGAATATGGAGGAAGGTTCCAAAAGGAAGACAAAATTTCCTTTCAGAAAAGTTCAGATATCATTTGATTAAGACATAGCATGCAGACTTGGCAGGTCATAAAAGGAATTTTGACAAATGATTTTAAAGTTTTAGAGAAAGACTGCATGTTCGGAAGTGAAAGGATATTAGATTGGAAGAGTAAAGTGGAGTTATGTAGAATCCAAAGAGGACTATAAACCTATGTGATAAGTAATGAAAGACTACTGTGCTTTCTTTAATATAGCTTAAGCCAGGAGTAAAAAAAGCCTTTTTGAAGTTTTTGTAGGGCTCTTAAAAAGGTTACTCAAATTTGGGCTTGCTCTGGAAAATTGTCTAAAATTAGTACTTACTTATAACCTAAGTCCTAAATTTTTGTAAATGAATGGGATTACTTTTGCCTCAGCCAGTATCTTATTCTAGTAGCATAAATCATGCTGCCTAATCCTGTTGGATACTTTATGGTGTTCTAGTGCTGGAGAATTATTCTACACATATTTCTATGGAGGGTAAACTTATATATGGACTCAACATGAATGTATTTATTCAGTCCCTCATTCATTCATTCATTCATTCATTCCACATTTACTGAACACTCTCCCTCTGCTAAGTGTTTTACTATGCACTGAGGATGCAAAGAGCAAAGAAAGAGTCCATGACTTCAGTTGAGTCCAGCAGGAGAGATAAATATACAAGCAGAAAAAAAGGAGTGTGACAGAGGTATGAGTTCACTGCAGCACCTATATTGAGTAAGGAAGAAGGTTTTATTTTTAGCTGCTTCTTTTCTTTCTTTTTTCTTTTCTTTTCTTTTCTTTTTCTTTTTCTTTTCTTTTTTTTTTTTTTTGAGACAGAGTCTCACTTTGTTGCCCAGGCTAGAGCGAGGGCCATGGCATCAGCCTAGTTCACAGCAACCTCAATCTCCTGGGTTCAGGCAATCCTACTGCCTCAGCCTCCCGAGTAGCTGAGACTACAGACATGTGCCACCATGCCTGGCTAATTTTTTGTATCTATATTTTTAGTTGTTCAATTAATTTCTTTCTATTTTTAGTAGAGACAGGGTCTTGCTCAGGCTGCTTTCGAACTCCTGACCTTGAGCAATCCGCCTGCCTCGGCCTCCCAGAGTGCTATTCAGCCACTTTTTACCGGAGATCAAAGTCATACAAAACACACAGGCATTCCAGGATGTCACAAGAGTAGGGTTTCCATAAAAGCTCCTACTCAGTGCTGCTTACCAAAATGTCACAATATCAGAATGCAAAAACAGAAGGTTTGAGCTGTTTGATCTTGAAGCCTGTATACAGGCAGGAGAGGCGAGCAGAGTATCCAGAGTGAGTGAAGGCACCCCTGGGTGCTCCCATCTTAGAAAAAATGTTGACAATAATAATGAGATATGTGCTTTTCTGTCCCAGAAACTCTTGGAAGATGTCTGCTTCCCCAGGTGAGGGACCACTGTTAGCCTCCGTTTCACCAGAGGAGAGTAATTCTAAATAAGCAAAGAAACTGCGCAGTGCTCTCCCTCTAGGCCGTCTCTACCCTCTCTCGCGCTCACTAAATGGAG